AACGCCCCGGGCCACATCGTCCGGACTTGATAAATGCGCACCCCCCGGAACACCAAAGAAGCCCGGACCAAGTCTATTTCTTTTTGTAAAAAAAAAAAAAAAAAAATCGGCTGATTTAGATACTAAGTCGATTTATCGACAAATGCCAAATCGACTACAATCACTAATTAACAGTCAATATCGATAAGTGTTAAAATTAATAAAAGTACCAGCAAGCATTTTACATTTATTACTTTGCAATGGACCAATGAAGTGCCATTGAATATCCAAAGGAAGCTAGATTTAGGTAACAGAAAGGTTCAATTAATCAATGTCAATTATATAACGATATATAGGATACAATAAATTACCTCTTTGCTCTTTTCAACTAATTCTTGTACCTATTAAATTATAACAGATACAATTTTACGTAAACTGAAAGAAGTGAGTACAAAATAATAATATAGAAAATAATATAAAAATAGAACTTACATAATTCTCTCCAAAATGTCGTTGTCCACCTTCATAAGCTATACGGATGTCAGTTTTGTCTCTAAATTTACTAACTGCAACTAATCGTGCCTATTATTTTTAATGATAATTTTAATGAAGTTTAAAAAATAGTTTTAACAAAACAATATTAATGCCTACCTCATATTTTCCTTCAACTATTGCTTCGATACGTTGTCTAATATTTGTAAGGTTTCGAATAATTTCTTGACGCCTGGACATGCCTGATTAAAATTTGTAAGCATAAATAGATTTTATACATTTTTAGCCAAAAGCAATAAATGCCAAATCGATCATTCTTGGCCAATCGGATTTGTACGTAAAGATCAAGGAATTGATTAGCGGCGCAACCAAAATTCCGGGTTGGAATTCATCGGAGCAAAGTCGGTATTAAGTACTACTGGGAAATGGTCAATCATTAGAGTTGTTAATGGGTTGGGTTGAGTTAATTAGTCCTCAACCTGGATATTGGGTTCACTTCGAAGCCACTCCAAACATGCTTCAGATTTTTATCGGTAAGCAAATCTTTAACTCCAATTTCGGTTGGGCTCCATTAACAACCCTATCAACCATATTATGGTAAAATTTAATCCGGGCAATTTTACTTAATGAGTGGGCTAGGTGATTTTTGGCAAAATTTAGCAATGCCGATGTGTATCGACTCGGAATTTGGTCGACTAGTCTACTAGTCGATCTGATTGGTCGAAATTATTGAGCAACAACCTTAGTCGACTTAACAAGTTATTGTATTTTGTGATTTTTATTAGGTAGTTAAGTTAGGAGTAATTAGCAAATTTTTGAGTTACCGTTACTGTATGAATCGTCTAAATTTATTTATAAAAATAAAAATCATACGCAAAAAATTTGCAAAAAATATATATAATTGTAATTTATTATTAAAATGCTATATATGTATATATTATTTTTTTTTTCTTTTTTTTTTTTTTTTTTTTTTTTTTAGAATAAATTGTAAATGCTACTTCGGTTTGAAATATAAAATTTTACATTGTAATGTTTGAAACATTAATTGAATTGAAATTAGTCTAATATTATTACCATAATAAAGTTATAACTTTAAAATGATAAAATTGCTAAACTCAAATAATGTCTATAACATCTAGACTATACAATATATATATATATCTATCTAATATACCATAAACATGAAATTATTAGTAAATATTAATAAGGTAAATAATTATTAGGATAAAGTAATGTCCTGATTCCAAGGATCTATATATTCCATACTCGGACTATAATTACGAAAAATATAAATTAATTTTAACATTTAAACTTCGAAACTCAAAAAAAAAAAAAAAAAATTAAGACAGAAACGTACCCAGAAAACGGATGCGAAGGATCAACGATATTGTAAACAACATTTACCATCGTTTTTAATATCTCAATTCTTTCTCTCACACCATCCTCGCCATTTTCAAATTCATCATCTCCATAATACAAATCATCACTTGTATCATCATCCGTTTTACCACCAATTACACCATCCCAATTAATCATAATTTTCTTTAAGGATCCCACTTCTTTTGCATATTTAATCAATTCATCCAGAAACGCTGCATCAACAAATTCCGATCGATATATCGCTAATACTTGTAATTTTGCTTTACATTGTTTTAAAAAGAATCCTAATATTAAAGATTCAAAATCCAATTTAAATCCAAAATATTTTAAACATTCTGGTATCGCTTCTGAAAATTGTATTAAACTATCTGTTGAAGAAAAGGTACATTCCGTTGAATTACTATATAAAGAAAAATGTACCAAATTTTGTAAAGATATAAGTAAAGAAAATAATAAATCAGGAATTTCAGGAGTAACGGTTAATGATAAATGTGTTAAATATCTACAATTAATTCCAATTTGTTGAATAAGAAAAGGAGTAACATCATCCAAATATAAAGTTCTCAAATTATTATTAGACATTTGTAATATAGGAATGATAAAATTTTGAGCATCGAGATGTAATCTTTCATCTATAAAATGATAATATAAATGTTTGATATTAATCGGTTCATTTGAAATATCTAATAAAGATTTTATCATATCATCATTTTCATTTTCAGAATTAAATCCAAGAAATTGTAATGTCTCTAAATTAATTAATGTAGGTAAAATAGGTAATAAAAGACGAAATTGATCTTTATCTAATTGATGAAACCTTAAATAAGTTAAAGATTTCCATTGACATATTAAAGAATTAAATAGAATTTCAGCAACATATGGACTCCAAAATTCTACAATAACCAATTCTCTAACACCTTTTTGAGCTTCAATTAATCTTTTAAAACTTTTAGCAATTTGTAATAATTCATCATAATTTCCAGCCAAATTCATTATATTAATATAAATATATTGAATATTATGAGAACATTCAGCCATAAAATTAAATAAATTGGAAATAATTTCTGATGATTTATCATTTAATTTCCAACCTGAATAATCAAATTGAAATTTTTCTAATCTTGATAAAGCTTTACTCGCATCATCGAAAGTTGCAATGTCAGTTATTAATGAATCATCATCATCACCGAAATGAACCAAATCTAAATCTCTTAAACCTTTACTATGACTAAATAATAAATTTCCTATTAATTGTACAAGATATGTATAAGTATATAAATCAGGATCTTCTTCATCCTTATCAGATTCGAGGCGATAATTTGCACGAGTTGTAAGCCAAGACATTATAGCACCAGTAAAAAAAGCAGAATCAAAGCTTTGTAAATATTTGGAGTAATCAAAAAGAAGAGGTGTTGACGGAGGGAGATCAAGACCTTCATCAATTAGAAGTTGACGTTCGTCTTCAGGTAAGCATGAGATGTAAGTTTGAATTATGTCAGAAGATCTTTCTCCAAAGCCATGCACTTCAAAAGGATGACTCCATAAAAGAGGAATAGCAGTCCGACACCATAGACGATTGACCAATATACATGAGTAGAGAGTTTTGGGAGAATCAATTAGGTGGCTCAGTGTTTCTTCGAAGCAATCAAAGGTTAATGGAGTAGGAATTAAATTTTGTAGAGTATTTTCCTCAATGGCTACAGTCATTGCTATGTGTGATATAAAAATTAGAAAAGTGATGCATTTAGATCATTATAATAGATATAGCACAGTAAAAAAAAAAAAAAAAACATACCGATACTTTAAAGAAAATTAAAGGCCCGCAAGCAATGTATATGTAAATCATACTATGTCTCATTGGTCAGTTTTATAAATGATAATCCAGCCTAACGCTAAAAAGTACGAGTAACAGTCGCCTCCGAAAATAACGCCCGATTTGCACGTGTAACCATGTGAGCAAATATAAATGTAGTATCATCCCACAGAATCCAAGCAGTTTTTAATGATAGATTTTTTGTATTTACATAAAATTTTAAATTTATTTCGGAGGCGACTGTACATTACATACCAGTTTCTAATTTACGTTACCCAATTTATCGATCACATAACGGCAAGACTTAAAAAATGTATCAATATTACTCATATTGCTATACATGTTTTATGTTCCAAATAAATATGGAGTCACTCTCGATATAATTATAGTGAAGCTAAACTTAAATATATATAAAATTCTCTCGACAGTCTGGTGACTTCATAAGAACCTATTACTTTGTTATACTGTATAAACTAAAAATATGATATATATCAAGTAATTGATTTTTCCTTATTAATAATAATATATACTGTACGTATTATTATTATTATTATTAATAAGGATAAGTGAATTATCTAAAAACTATATTTTTTATTAAAAATACGAAAATTAGAAAATGCTAAAGCATTTTATAAAAGAAATGCAATTTCAAAAAATGCATTTCCATCATCGAGTTGAGAAACAAACTAGAACATACAATTTTTCTTTTTAAGTATATATCTTTAAATATCTATACATATAAAATACAGGAAAAAAAATAATATGAATATTTCGATAATATTCGAGTAAATTAACTAATTAAGGATATCCTTCATATTGACCACTTTCTGGATGATAAGGATATGTGGGATGCTGAGAGTGTTCCACATCTATATCATAATCTTGTCGTTGATCTGGATAATAATGTTGTTGATGAAATAATTGTTGACAAACTACCGGAGTTGACGGTTCCTCAGGATATAACTCAGATTCTTGCCTTCTATGTTGATTTTTAATATTACCATCATTAACATTAGCAATTTCAGGAGAAATCTTTAATGGTTTTGGTGTTGTAACAAGTTCAGGTGAAATTTTTAACGGATTAGGTGTAGTTATTTGAAGTGAATTAACCGAAATTGTATCATTATTTGTTTGATTTAATTTATCGTTTGATTGATTAAAGAATTCTTTTTGTTGTTCTTTTGTGAATCCAGATCTTTCTATACCCCATTTTTCTTTTTCCCATTGTATTCGTCTACATATAATAGTAGTTATTAAAAAAAATATAGCATTTATCCAACCCATTATTAGTGAAACGAAAAAATAAACGCATTGATCGTAAGAAAAATCAATGTTAATGCATGACATATTGAATCCAGTGAAAACTGTAGAT